GATTAGTGGTCCCAACTCTATTTGAGTTTGACAGTCTTTATACAATCCATAATAATAGCAAAGACTACTTCATAATCATAGCAAGTATTTATATAGTGTTTTAAGGCTTGTAAAATACTTTGCATGTGTTATTTCATTTGATCCTCATGCAAGGTAGGTGTTATTATTGTTCCAATTATATAGATGAGGAAAAGGTCACACACAGCTAGTAAATGTCTGAGGCAAGATTTGAACACAGGTTGTCCAGACTCCATGTCCAGTATATTGTCAAGCACTTTTCTCAATTCTAGGTAAATTATATATCATCCATCTGATCTACTAGTTCAACAATCTTGTCAAAAAAGAAAATAAGATGAGTCTGGCATTACCTGTTCATGATACAGTTACCCAAGCCTGATTTATTTTAGTCATTTTTGACTGTCTTACCCACCCATCCAATCAGTTGCAAAACACTCTTTATTCTATCTCTAAAATAACTTTTGAAATCAGCATTCCCTTTTTACTAGTACTGTAGCCACCTTAATTCATCCCCCCATTGCCTCCCATCTGAACTAACTGTGGGGTCTTGGACAAATGACCTATCTTTTCTTGACCTCAGTTTCTTCATCTCTAAAAATAAGGAATTTGAACAAAATGGTTTTCACAGTCCCATTCAGTTTTAGAAGTCTGTAAGTACTTGGGCAGCTAGGTGGCACAGTAGATAGAACATTGGTTCTGGAGTCAGGAGGACCTGAGTTCAAATCTACCCTCAGACACTTACTAGCTGTGTGACCCTGAGCAAGTCTCTTAACCCTAATTACCTCCAAAAAGAAAAAAAAAAGTCTATGAATCCTATTGCCATATGTTAATGGTTAAAATACTTATTTACAGGTTTGCTAAATAATTGAGGAAATAATTTTTTCAAAGAGCATCACTGGTATCAAACTCAGTTTTAATAATGAGCCACTAAACTGTACATAAGGGGGGGGATTCCTGGGGACCACATATTGACTTTAAAAAACCATATATTAATATTATCTATGTTGTATTGTATTTTTATTTATTTTGTTCAATATTTTCCTCTTAGCTTTTAATCTAGTTTGGCCCTCACTGGGGAAGTATTATTACAGCACTGGGGGAAATCCTCTGGCCTAGTATACTGAAGAAGCTAAATAACGTGTCCAGGGCCACACAGCCAGTTAGTGAGGGCAATTCTCAAACACATATCTTAATGGTTTTGAGGCCAGTTCTACATCTGCTAGGTCATATTGCCTCTCTTGATAGAGAGAATTTTGCAATTTGTCCAGTAGGTAAAGCCCATCCTATAAACTACTAAGGATACTCAATACTCTTATCACAAAAAAGTTTTTTTTATGTCATTTATTTAATAGATGTAATTTGGGTATAATTATTTATACAATATCATAATGTCACAAAAGTCCTGTAATAGATTTGTGAAAATAATGAAACCTTCTTTATATGGCAGCTTTTTAGAGCTCAGGCTCTCTAATGTTAAATATTTGCTAAAATGTAAGAAAGAGAATTGACAGATATTGGGTGAGAATGATTTAACTTAAGGATAAAATACATCCAAATCAGTGAGATTTGAATGAACAAAATGTATTCCTAATTTATTAGCTCCTATTTCTATAGGTTTATTGAACACTTTTCTCAAACTCCCCTGTAAAGTTCATCAAATATATATTATCCTCATTTTATAGATGAGAAAAAATGAGGCCCAAGAAGAGTGAGATTTTAAAAAAAGGCTGAGATTTAAAAAAAAAAAGGAAAGGGCTGTTCAGTAGCATGAAATCTATTAACAAACCAACAAAAAATGAGACATACGCTAAGATTTAATGACCAGTATTCCTGGAAGTAAAGGCTGGAACTGGATGGTTAAAGGCTTTAAATGCCACATAAGAATTTCTATTTTATCTTAGAGGCAATAGGAAGTCCCTGGAGTTTCTTGAGCAGGGAGGTAATATGGTTTTGCAGTTGTTTGGGAGATGGATTAGAGTGGAGAGAATCTTGAGGCAGAAATACTAATTTAGGATGCTGTTGAAATGGTCCAGACCAGAGGTGGGGAACTTGCGTCCTCGACGCCACACATAGCCTTTTCAGGTCCTTGGGTGCTGCCCCTTGACTGAGTCCAAGTTTTATAGAACAACTCCTTTTATTCAGGGGATTTGTTCTGTGAAGTTTGGATTCAGTCAAAGGGCCACACTTGAGGACCTATAGGACCACATGTGGCTTTGAGGCCACATGTTCCCCACCCCTAGCCCAGACAAAAGGTGATAAGGTCAGAATGCTGACTATTTGAATGGCTAGAAGGGGAACAATATGAAAGGCAAGATGTTAACTTAACCACAATCTATTTCTCAACCTAGAAAAGGTATTTGGTTTCCATTTGCAGTTGACATAGAATACCAGTTTGGGTAGACTTATGGCAAACTTTGATTCTACATCTACAAATATAAATCAAGCATATGCAGTCCAAAAAGTTTCAAACACCATGCATCCCTTGTTCTCCCTACTATGATGATAATGTTAAGTGATTTTTTTTTGTCCAGGGTCACAAAGTAATACAGACAGAAACAGCTAGAATCAGAGCAAATTCAGTCTATTTCCCTTCCCCCTCCCCCAATCCTTTTCAGTGATAATTAACCAACTCTAGGCCTCTGCCTTCTTGGAATTTGAACAGACTGATAATTAAATACAGTAACAGCTAATTTATAAAACCTTGTCAATTAATCCAAGAAGTTCAGAGATGAAAGAGACCTCAGAGGCCATCAAAGCCAATCCATATCTATACTGGAAATCTATAACACCCACAAAAGGTGATCACCAAGATTACACTGGAGACCTCCAGTAATGGAGACCTCCATGATCTTCTGAGGGAAGCCACAGGACACCACTTTGGGCATGACTCTTTAGCTTTCACCCATTGCTATTTGTTCTGCCTTCCAGAGACAAGCTGAATAGAAATAATTTCTTTCACAAGGCAGTCTTTCAAATACTTAAACATAGTTATCACCTCTTCCTTGTGAAAGAATTTTTTCCACAGAAGGTCCTTGACAGCAGGGATTATTTCTTCTTTTGTCTTTGTAACCCCTGAGCTAGCACAATGCCTTGCACACAGTAGGTGCTTTAAAATGCATGTTGATGGATTGGTTGTTTGAAGTTTGTTAAATAAGCTTAGGCCTTGAAGGAATAAACCTTTGCATTGTTGACCGCTGTTACTTTGTCTTCTCTGGATTTTTATGAATAACTTTGTTTTGTTTTTTGTCTGTTTCTTTGTTTGTTTTCCTATTGGTCTAACTGCTCTTCAGTCTCCTTTCCTAGATTATCTTCCATGCCATACTCTCTAAATGTAAGCATTACCGAAAGCTCATATCTGACCCTCTTCTTTTCTCTCAGCATCCTCTTTCTTGGTGATTGTTTCAGATAAATTAAATTATCATCTCTATAAAGATGACCCTCCTGCTTTACAGTTTTAGCCTCTTAAGCTGGAGTTCCACATGACCACATTCCCATTGGGCATTTCTTTGGCATCCCTTAAGCATCTTAAACTCAATATTTCTAAATCATCTCATTATCTTTTTCCCCTAAAACCCACCCCTCTTCCTAACTTTACAATTACTCTTGAGGACACCACTGTCCTTCCAGTCACCCAGTTTGGAATTATCCTTTTAGGTTCTTCCTTCTCCCTCATATTTAATCACTTGCAAATTCCTGTTGAGTCTACCTCCAAAACTACTTTCAAATTTGTCCCCTTCTCTCCTTGCATATCACAACCATGATCATTTGTGTTGTTGTATTTTGCCTAGATTATCTCGAGACTGGTCTCCTTATTTCTAGTCTCTTCCCTTTCCAATCCATGCTCCATATAACAGTCAAATTGGCATTCCTAAATCATGTCTATGTTACTCCCTTGCTTAAAGCAAACTGACAAAACCCTAAGTAGCTCCCTCTTCCTTCTAGTGTTAAACAATCTGATTCCAGATGGCCTTTTTAGACTTAATGCAGCATTCTTTATATTATCACATTCTTGCCAAACTTATCTTCTTATTATTCTCTGTACATGATATTTCATCTCCCATCTCCATGCCTTTACACAAGCTTCGAACACCTTACCTCATTACCTCAGCTTCTTAGAATCCTTAACCTCCTTCAAAGTTTAGCTCAATGCCATTTCATGCATGGGATCTTTCTTGATCTTGACAGCTTCTAGCACCCTGTCCCTGAAATTGCTTTGTGTTTATTTGGTATGTATTGTATATTTACTTACCCTCATATGTATAATTTCCCCTCAAGAGAATACAAGCTCCTTGAGGACAAGTAATATTCTATTTTTGTCTTTGTATGCCCTGAACCCAGCACAGTGCCTTGTACTAAAGAGGTACTAAATCAATACTTTTAAAACTGAATTTATGTGAAAATATACCTAATTTATATCTTTTCCTGCATTATCAAACAATGTATTAAATATGCCTAAACTTTTTAGTCAACATTCATTATAATATAAGTTAATTATTATATTGTATTTTACCAAGGAGAGGTAAAGTGGGGAGAAATATCTCCCACAATAAGCTGTATTTGTTTGTTTAATAGGAGGTCCTATGAATAATACTCTTTCCTGATGTTTTAGTAAGCTAATATATGAACTTTTCCCTCTTTAGAAAATTCCTCTTTGCATGGAAAACTAATGGTCACAGGATGATAACAAGTCCATGGTTCCTCTGCTCTGATTCTCTGACCCTCTCCAATTCTAAAGAGTGAAGGAAGAGGGTTACAAACACTCTCTCATTGGAGACTTCAAAAATCTGAATGATCTCTTTGGAAGAAATATGTGGGAGAAAGAGGACCTGAAGGGATACAATGGCATTAAATTTGGCCCTCAAGTCCCATTGGTACAGGGATGGGCTACATCACCAAGGCAACCCAGCAGGCACTATGACCTCAGATCCATATGTGGAAAATTTTTTCATTTAGGCAGAAAATAAATAGAATTGTGTGGTCAGTGTTTCAGGAGAAAAGAATGAGAAGCTGGAGGCATGGAAGACAGACAACATCCAGGGAAGTTCCCTAATCCCATCCTATTTTCCTTGAGAAAGATGGAACCCCAGGGTAAAAGGGGATGTAAGTGTGCAAAATTCTTACTTTCTTCTCACTTAGGAGGATGCGTTGACATTATGCTAAATATATTTTCTCATTACCATGTTTTTAATTACTTTATTTTTGTTACAGTTGAAAGTTGGGCCTGAGTATAAGTAAGAAGATTGGAGTTGAGGGAGGTCTTAGGAAGAGAAGAACCAACATTCTTCTTTGAGTTGATTTTCTAATCTTTTCATTTGACTTTGCTCTGATATTTCAGATTGCATATCTTCATCTTGGAGTTCCATCTCTTCTAATTTGTTTTGCAGAATGCGCAACTTTTTATTAAAAATTTCCAGTCTCTGTTCTAAAACATTGGCTCTCTTTTCAAGTTTTTCTTTAAGAACTTTAATTCCACTCCTTATTTCATCTTTGAATTCTTTTGTTAGAATTTTCAACTGCTCTTGTGCCTGTTCCATCCTCTTTTCTGGTGTACCAGCTATGGGGGGCAATAACAAAGTATTCCTTTCTTCTTGAGATGTCTCCTCAGATTCGTTTACCCTGTAGTATTTCTGCATTGTAGAAGGGCCTTTCTTGTGCTTGCTCATGTTTCAGTCTCTTTACTTTTTTGTTTTGTTTTCCCCGTGGCATTTTCCGTGTGAAGATTACTTTCCTTTCTGCTCTTTATTGTTGTTCTTTTACCTTATGTGGATCAGCTGTTGCTATTTGGAGGTGATTACTGGGAGTGAGCTGATCTCATGACTACTCACTGAACCATCTTGGGAGAAATCCTGCCCTCTAAAGCACTCCTTGGCTAGTCACTGTAGATATAGAAAGAAACCCAGAAAGTCAAGCCAGTGGAAATCTAGGAATGTAGTTGATATTTAGACTCATAAGTATAGTAAGCTTATTATTTTCCTATGATGAATATAGCCTTTCTCTCCTCTTTGAGAGTTTAATAGTAGGTGAAGACTTAACCAGGTTGGTGGCAGGTGGGTCAAATCTTCCTGTGTTTTTTTCCCTTTCATTTTTATTTCAAAAAATGCTGAGGGAGAACAGATGGGTGACTACATTCATGCTATGCTATCTTTTCAAAAGAAAATGTGGGTCAAAGTATTATACAAAATAAAAACATTTATGTAATCCATAATGAATCTCACCGTCATTATTCTCAAGTATCTGAGCTATAGGCTATTATCCACAATATCTTCTTTTTTTTATAAAAGTAAGCATTGCTATAGTGAAAACAAGTCCTATTTATATAGGATACTTTGGGAAATCACTTTTACCTTCCACATTTGACCTTTTAAAGTCATTATTATTAGATATCTATTCAGGTTGAGCTTTATACATGGAAATGTTGGGGAGGGTGGTGATCAAGAGGAATAAGAATCATGACCTGAGATTTAACATGGTCAGAAATTTGTTTTAGAAGTCAGGTTAAACGGGAATGAGGATGTGGGCAAGAGATCAACAGAAAAATAAGGTGTGAGAGACCATGGAGATCTGGTGTTGGAGACAGGAATGGAACATAACTAAGGAAGAGTAGGAGAATAGGCTTATTTAAATGAAGTAGTTTAAAAGATGGTTTGTGAGAGGAGAAGGAAGGAGCAAGAGAAGGAAAGCATAATTACAGTGGGTATCAGTTGTGAAGTTATATAAAGATGTGTTATATGTATGTGTATATATACATATATGCATGTATTGTGAACATATGGACATATATGTGTATTTGTGTATACATATAGTCCATGGAGGTCTGAGGTAGACAATAGAAATAGCTAATTTTTTCTCAGAATCACTTGATGAGGAGCAGTGTGATAAAGTAGAAAGAATAGATGTGGGGAGGGGTGGTTTCTCTTTTAATTGTTCTGGGCCCTGTTATTTACTATGGAAAAGTCAAGTCATGTAACCTCATAGTACTTTGGGGAAAATATGGATTTATTTAATTAAGGCACAGGAGAGTGAAAGCCTCACAGTGCTTATAAGACATTCACTGGGAATACCATCCTTTCCACTTTCCCCTCTTCGGATGCCAATGGCTATAGGAAATAGGTGAATCAAAGGCAACTAATTGGATCAGCATTTCCCTGGGACAGTTAAGGGAATCAGATAAGGGAAAATGACTTTTGTTTTTTGGATTATCTCACTCATACTTGTTGGTGAAAATCAGTCTAGTCTTGTACAGGGGACAAGAGACTGGTTGTAGCACTAAGGTAGAGTGTATCTATGGAACTGTCAGGTAAATATTGGTCATGGTCACTGTGGTTTTGTAGCACTAACACAGTTCCAGACTTTGTGTCTGTTTAAGATTTACAGAATCTTACACAATTTCTAAAAGGTAATTTGATGTTCTGGAATTCTAAGATATCATTATGATTCATCTATTCAGTGGTCAGCTTAAACAGCCCCAACCTTCTGGAGCTGCCTAGAACTCAAAAGCAAGACAGGAGTGTAAAAAAAAAAATTAAAACCTATAAAAATGCCTGTCACAAAACACATGCACTTAACCCCCATAAGAGGAGAGAAGAGTCTGTCATAACTAACTTTTCAGGCTCAGAGAATATTCATCCAACTTACCTGAATCACAGTGCTTGAATTTGTGGCTTAAACTTCAGTTCTGCCTAGGTTATAACAAGACTGCCTGGAGGCAAATGGCACCGGCTGTAGATAGTGGTCAGAAAGTGAGATGGTGGTAGCATAGTCACAACTAACATGGATATACCACTTAAAAGTTTGCACAGCACTTTATATGCATTGAATCACCTGAGCCTCATAACAACCCTCTGTGAGGTAGATACTGCAGGTATTATTATCCCTATTGTACAGATGAGGAAAGTGAAGATCAGACAAGTTGTCTTGTGTTCACATAGTTACCAAGCATGAGAGACAGAATTTGAATTCAAGATTTTCCTAACTCTAAGTTCAGAACTATCACTGAGAAACTCTGAATAGGAGTAATAGCCCAAACACTTTGAGACATATGGCAAGGCAGGTGGAAGATTGGGATCAATTGGAAATTTCAGGATTTCAGTTGGATTTCAAGAAAGCATTTGACAAAATTTTGTAGTTTATCATTTGGACAATGGAGGAACGTGTACCAGATAGTTTCAGAACTGGAAAGAAGTCTCTAATGGAATGAGTAAGGGATGTCAGGAATGTTCCATTTTCGCCTCTGTGCTGTTTAACATTTTAGAAAATGTTAAATTGTTTAAAATATTTTATAAATGTTAATTCAAGGGTAAATACGTAAATGACCTATATATCAAATTTGCAAATGACGTAAAGTTGGGATGGAGATCAGAACAGATCCTGACATAGAAGGATTTTTGACAGACTGGAATGGTGGACTTGAATAAGATTGAGTTACTGGAGATAAATATACAGTTAGTTGTGCATTTCAATGACAAAAAAATCAACTTAGCAAGTACAAGATATGGAGGCATGGTTGGGTAGCAAATAATTTTAAAAATCATTTGGTGGCTTTAATTAACTTGCAAAACTCTATGTGAGTCAACAATGCCAAATAAATGCCAGCCAAAAATTTGGCTAATGCATTATCTTAAGCTACATTAAAAGAGATACATTGAATGAGAGAGGGAATGGTACTGCTGTTACTCTGACTTAGACAAACTACCTTTGGAGTATGGCGTTCAGGTTGAGGCGCCACATTTTAAGAAAGATATTGCCAAGTCAGAGAATATTCGAAAAAGGGGAGAGCAGGGAAATGAGGTACATAGTTTAGTGATTGAAAATTCACTGAAGAAAAGGACAATTTTGCATGAATTTAGATTAATGAACAATATTGCTAAAAATTTAGAAAATAGACATTGGTTGAGCATCAGGCTAAAATTTTCTGGCAGGGAAAATTACTGGTAAATATGATATTTAGTTGTGACCTAAGTCTGAGTCCACTTTGGTAAAGTAGAAACAGCATATGCCTCTGAGGGGTCCCTCTATCCTCAACTCTATTCTTTGTGATCCTAGAAAATTCATTTATCCAGTAAAATGGATATTTTACTGAATAATGTATTGGAACAGCTAATTTCTTAAGTCCTTTCCAGCTCTTGATCTATGATTGTATGTAGGTCCCATTTACTAGCTGCATGACTTTGGGCAAATTGCTTCAATTCAAACATGAAATAGTCCCTGTTCTCAAGGATGTTTGTTTACAAATAAAAATACATACAAAGTAAAATACGAAGTAATTTTTAATGTGAAGGTGTATGTGTTGAGGTGGGGTGTACTAACACCCGGAAGAATCGAAAAAGGCTTCTTGTAGAATGATGGCACTTAAGCTGAGTCTTTAAAGAACCTAGGGATTACAAGAAGTGAAGGTTAGGAAGGATTATGTATCCAGGAGGACAGAGAAGTCTATGGGGTTAAGTGCCCCAGAGATTTCAAGGAGTGTAAGAACTGAGAAAAGACCAACAAATTGAGCAGTTAAAAAAATTTTTTTTGATAACTGGAGATAGCAGCCAGTTGAGAGTGCTTCATTTTCTTTTTTTTTTAAATTTATGAAATAAAACAAGCATTTATGTAACATATATAGTAAAAAAGATGGATTACACATGACGTTTCAAATCTATTACAACTTGCTATTCCTTTTATATATGTAATAAAGTTATCATGTACATTTCTTTTTTTCTCTTTTTTTCTCCCTTTACCCTGCCCTAGAGATGGCTATCATTAGACACAAATATATGTGTGTGTGTATGTATATATATATGTTATGCATATATATATACACACACACATATGTGTGTAAAATTATTCTATACATACTTCTGTCAGTTCTTTCTCTGGATGCAGATAGCATCTTTCTTCATATGTCCTTTATAGTGAATGCGGGTAATTATAGCAGTCAAAATCACTTATTCACTCAAAGTCGTTCTTAAAACAATATTGCTGTTACTATATACAACATACATATAACTGTATATGCTCTCTTGGTTCTGCTCATTTTGCTCTTCATTATTTCATGCAAGTCTTTCCATGTTTTTCTAAGATCATTGAGCTCATCATTTCTTATAGCACAGTGTTATTCCATCACAATCATATACCACAATTTGTTCATCCATTCCCTAATCCAATGTGGGAACTGGACTAGGATCTCTTTTAAGGCCAATCCCCATTCTAGCAATCTCTGATGAGATGTTAAGATTTAGAAAGTCATCATGCAGTCTGGAGTTGTCTCTTTTGAAATGAGAGTTGTATAAGAATGAAGAATTCTATTACTCTTCTGTTTTCACGTCCAAGAAAAAAGGAACTCAACTGTGATTACAAAAGAGCCATTTGCCATGATAAGTTCCTAGCCGCTATACGTGGTTAATATGTTTAGCTTGGGTTATTAACATGATATGTATTTAATTTGACTTCTTTTTCTTTGTAAAAATGTTTACCTATCAGTGCTTATCAAATTTTATATATGTGTATTTATACATATGTATATGTGTACATGTATGATTTAGTTTTTATCTACTCTTTTTCTTGGATTGCTCCCCACAAAGAGGCCACATTATCATGAGGTTCAGAAAGGTTTTTTATGCTCATTGAGAGTTGTTTTTTGAAAGTTGTATTAGAAATTCAAAACACATCATGTCCCAGAAATATTTCTTTAATTGAGAAATAGGTTACTGGTGAATAGAATCCATAGAATTGAATTCACAGAGAAATAATTGTGCTATGATAATAATAAAAAACCCAACTTAATGTTCTCTAGGCAATAGAACATTGTCAATGTGCTAAATCTTTGTCTGTAAACTTATTAAATTATTGTTTTATGAATCTTCTGTGGGCCTATATCCAAATTGAATGTTTTGCCAATACTAATCCCTTACTGGTGGTTCTAACAAAGAGTTCTCTTTCAGGGACAGGTCTTGTTCCTTGGGGAAGTAAATAGAGTCAATGATTTACTGATAAGGCCACCCAGTATATATATCATTGCTGTCCCATATATCAATGTCACGGGCAACAGCTTGCTTTACTAAGTGATTCTGCAGTGTCTTCTCAAAGACTATTTTGTTTTGTAATCAGATCAAAGTGGCAACATGAATACTTTTCAGTATTGCATAAATTGTGTTCATCTCTAATAGCACTATTATTTCAGAGACGTATTTATGGATTAGTATCCCCCAGAAATTGCAGCTGAAATTTTTTATTTCATCTTTCAAAGCCTGAATAAACTTGTCTCCTTAGAAAACACCCAACATTAGTTTGCTTATCATTCATGTGAGCTGAAGCATGGCTGATTGCGGAGACGCTTTTACACTAAAATTGAGATTTTATGCTTGTTCCTTCTTGGAAGGATTCAGACATTCATGTGGCATTTGCTTTGTAACTCTTACTAGCATGTGGGTTGCAAATTTGGTGTTAATTAGCCAAGCCATTTTGTAGATGCTCCCGCCTGTCCATAGGATGCTATCAAATGGTATTAAATATTTTATCCAATCTCTTGAAAATGGATTGGAAAACTAATGAGTGATTGCTTTGCGAAAATTACACAGGGTGAAGAGAAAACCCTAAAGGAACACTGCCCCTTTGATGATGACTGACAGATAATGACATAGCTTTCAGTCTTTGCTTAAAAAAAAAGAGGCAGATTTTACTGAGTGGGTAGTATAGTTTCGCATCAGTCGTAAGTTGATACTGGAAATGCCTTTAGGAGAACAAGTAGAAGGACACGTTTTCTTTTGAAATCCAAAAGATGAGGAAAAGTTTGGCAGTTTTTAAAAAATTGATATCTTTCTAAACAAGTTACTGATTTTCTTTTTGGATTTGCAATACAGGCATTCCTGTGAGTAGTCCCATTTTGAAGCGTTTCTCCGAAGTAGCATGCTATGCTCTGTACGTAATTTTTCAATGAGGAATCCTACTTGCAGCATATTTTTTCCTTCAAAGGCTTTGCATTTCTGCATAAAAAGCTTATTAATTATTTGTAGCTGCTTGTCATCGTGTTCTGATAATAGAAGCCTGGTCAAGGATAATAATTACCACTTCACCTTTTTTGGATCATACATATCCAGTATTCCTAGTGCAATATTACCCAAAGCATCTCTTCTCTCCCTGTACACAGGACCAAAAGTGCAGGCACATCATTTATTGATAAGACAAAAAGAATGTAATGAAATTATCAATGTTCTTGAATTAATTATGAACATGATTAAGAAAGCTAAAATCTCAGGAGCCAGGATCTCATTACCCATTCAGTCTTAGGGATTGCTTTCATTCAGCTAAGCAAAAAGGCTTTGAGCAGTTCCACAATTGCCTTTCTCTCATTTATTTGTGCTAGAATTAAGGTTTATTTGTTTTCTGTTTTCTCCTTCTTCAGAGATTATTTCTCTTAGTTTATCCATTTAACAAATTGTTTCTTCCTCTATCATAGAAGAATGCCCCTGTAGGGCCTACATCACTGTCTTCTGTCTACAGACCTCCTCCTTTTGAGGACATTTTCTCTCAACTCATTTTGCTGGGAGCTCCTAAATATCTCTCAAGGTAAGTCTGAGAATGTAGCCAAAAAGTTCTTTCAGATTTATGTCTGCAGCTATACAACAGCTCTGTCTGAGTCCCATTCAGCTCAGACTCTTAATGACATCATTATTACGCTGTCTGAACTAGGCTACATTTAACTGGGAGCCTGCTTAGTATTATTACTTACCTTCCTTACTATGTGAAGGTACTAATAATAGTTGTTTGGGGGGTGATGGGGGAGGGGAGGGGAGGAGGAAGAGGCAAGGAATTGCATCAAAAATAACAGGGAAATTGAGTTTGGATTTAAATCTGGTTGCCCTGAGCAGCATAAATAAGAAGCCAAAGTCCATTTCGAATGGACATTTTGGAGGATGGAAATCCTAATAGGTCTGTTGCCCTCACTCCATCACAGTTGGTTCAAGAAGATTGTAACTGAAGATTCTATGCTGTCCCTCGCTTTATTTACGGATTTTTCAGTGTTCCACATTTCAAAATGTTCCTCCTTACAAGGCCCTCTGGAATTCCGGGTTATTGTAATGTCTAATGGAAAAGGAATATTGGAATGATGCAGTATAATGTCAAATGCCTGGTAATTACCTTGGTGAAACCTGGCAAGGAAAACAGATCTTTTTGTCAGATAAAGCGAGAGGACTTTTAAGCAGCAAACTTTTCCTAATAAATCATTGATATAAAACGCCATTGTTAAGATATGATGTTCTCTGTCAGCCTGCATTTTGCAGTCACAGGCATGGCTATGCTGCATGGTTTAATGATGTTTTGGTTTAAAAATGTGACTTTGGAGCCCATGTTTTTTCATATGTGAGAGTTAAACATTGGAAAGCTAAGATGCAGGAGAACAGTCATAGCTGTAGGTCATTAAACAAATGCTGTCTGTGTCCCACTTTAAAAAAAATTGATCCTGGTTTTCTATGTAATGGTGACTTAATAAGATTGCTTTTACCTTCACTAATGAAGGTAAAATGAATGGGAAAAATGCAAAAATTAAAATACAAGATGAATTTTGGAGTTCTCCACAATAAAATGATTGCAACATACAATATTCAAACGTGGAGTCCTAGAAACAACCTTGAAATTTGAAAGTTTGCTATAAAATGTGATTAAATACACAAAGAGTGGAGACTGTCCCTGTAAATTTAGAGACAGCTATTATATAGTAAATATGCTTATATGAATTTGTATGTGAGTGTTTTATTTTTTTAAATGCTGCTTCTGTTTTTTTTTTAACCTGTCTATATCAAGCTTTTGAAAATATCTCTGTTGCTTATAGTGACATAACATTATTGGCTATTCTATTTTCTGCTGCCTATTTTATGTTTTGTTAATTTGATAAACAAATGGCTATTGATAAATGGAATGACAGCTAATATCTATTCTGCTTAGGCCTGATTTTAACATTCATGAAGCTAACCATTTTAATTTGAAAGTGTTAAAAATGCATAAAGACCTTGAGTCTTGTTTTTATATATCAAACAAGAAGAGTAGTAGAAAGTAATTTTCTCATTTTATGAACTCAAAATGCCAGAGAAAAAAAAAGGTCTGTTGCTTAAGTAGCAGCTTCTTACATTTCATCTCATTCTGAGAAAACGAAAATGTCTCTGAATTCTTTTGATATTTCTTTCACATCTTATCAAAAGAGAAAAAATGAATCATATCATATCTTGCACGCTATTGCTACATGAAAGGAGTGAACAGAAATTCTGTGTGGTTTTCTCAAGGGGAAGCCCATTATTATGGTCTTCTAGGTGGTCATCTTCACTGCAGTTATTGGATGTGTTCAGGTGAAACAGTTTGCAGATTGAAATATTCAGTGTACCAACAGACACATTGGTTGCTAGTGATGGATTAAAGAGGGGGATGGGAAGAGGGGGAAGGAAGAGTGGCTTATCTTTCTCTAGAAAGTTGGTAAACAGAAAATGTTCTTCCAATTCAAAAGCATAAAAGGCGCATTTTCTTTAGCTTATGGCTATTACAATATCCACATGTTTCTAGAAAGATATTATTGTGATGAGTTCATTAGCTCAGAGAGAATACTAATGACTAGTGCCTCTAGCTAAATCTGAAAAAGTTGTTTTAATGGAAAGCATTTAAATGTCTATCTTGGTCATCTAGAAATCATGCCTTGTCCTTACATTAAAAGTCACTTGCTGGTATGTGTGCGTAAGACAAAATACAATTTTATCTGTAATAAATTAATAGAGTTGACTTCACAGAACTGAAACAAATTGAAGTTAAACCAATACTAGAAAACTAACTTGAGAAAACATTCTTTGGAAGTTAGATATTGCTAGGCTGGAGGAAAAAAAGGTATTGCTAATAGACTAGTAAATATATTATAAGTACTGGTTAGGAGAAACCTTCCAATCTTCAATACAGAGCAGAGCATCATAATTATATTTTAAACAGGTTTATTTTTTTTTACATAAAAATTGAAGCTATGATAAAAATGGAAACATCACAAAAATTTTAAAGTTTCTGAAGATGTCCTAATTAAACAATTTCCCTAGTAAGAAAAACTGCTCAGTCTTCACTGAAAAAGAGTAAAGGGTATCCAAAAGCCATACGTCCACAAACATACACACATACATACATATGTTATATATATATATATATATATATATATATATATATATATGTAACACACATATTAATATCTATCATTGCTAGCTGATCTATTGCTTTTTTTAAAAAATCAAAATAAAGGTAATTGGCATTTTGGACTCCAGATACTAAGTGTAAACATATCTAATTGATACAGAAATAAAACACCAATAATAATTTTAAAATAATATTAAATATTAAAAAATATGACTTATGTTGTTAATGGTTCTAATTATTGTTGGCTAAAGAACTACCAAATGGCATGTGTGTATGTATTCACATATATATATATATATATATATATATATATATATATATATATATATATATATATATATATATATATGTATACACACACACACATATATATAAAGATCTGTATCAATATATACTATGCATGTGTTTCCATAACATGTAGATGTGCACACATACATGTATTATGCATATTCATGGCATATGCACACACCTTCTATACACACAAGTCTTTATATATAGCAGACACAGTATATGCTTATTGGACTTGATTGGATTTCTGTTCTAGTGATCTTTCCACTATGTAATTACTACTATATTATATACTCATCTATGCACACATACATCACATATACAAGCACATGATTTAAGCAATGTGGTATGGAAAGAAGAGTACTGAACTAGAAACCTGAAGATTCGAGTTCTAGGCCTGTCACTATCTACTTGTGTGACCTTGAACAAAGAACGGTATGGAGGTGAGGGTGTTGGTGGAGTTGGATTAAGTGATCCTCAAGGTCTCATACAACTCTCAAATTCTGTTATGCCCAGTTTCCAAGAGAGAGTTAGAGTTCTCCCATCTCTCTGTCTCTATTTCTTTCTGCTCATTCTTTCTCCCTCCTCTCTCTCCCCATCTCTGTCTCTTCTGTCTTTGTATGTATGTATAATAAACATGCATATATGTGTATATTATATATACTGACAAGATATATTGTTTAAATGATTGTTTTTACCTTTCTACTTAGAAATAAGAGAAATATAGCATTAGTGTTTCTTTCTCCAAGTGTTAAAATATTAAAGTATGCTTTTTAACAGAGAACAGGTAAAATTCTCCATATGCTCTAAGTTTATTGCTCACTAAAGTATTGATCGTTCTTGAACTTTTGCGATCCAGCTAGCTTGATTCTGGAAGTTCAAAACTTAATTTACCCCCAGCCATTTAAGTTTATGCTGACCTGTCCCTATAAACAGTGGGGCTTGCATTCTAGCAAATACTTCTTTAAAAAATTCCCCGAGTGTAAAAAGAGAAAATTATTTCATCCTTGCATTTCTCAAAGCAAGTTGTTGGGCCTTTGCAAATTGCTAATAAGCTCATTTAACTCCTGCTATGTATGAATGCTGAACTGATCTCTCTAACTAAAATTAGCTTTTTCTTTTGGTCAGTAGCCCAAATTTCCCTACTTTTGAGGGCAGCTGTATTCCACTAAGATGCAATTTCATTTATGGTATTAAAAACTGTGTTTGGCATTTGGGGCATTTCTGTCCATGGATGTTCGTAGCATGGCGCAATACACTAAAAGCTGAGGATGCTGGTGGTGTTGGGGGGGGGGGTGGTGGCACATTGACGCAAAAGGGTCCATTTTACTCCGAATGGGTTAAGCAGAACTACCTGCTTTAGATTGATTTAAATCAGTAATGGATCTTCTCATAAAGCTGCTGTTACTAGATATTACATTGCTATCTCAGTCCTTTGATAGCACAGATAAGAAGTGCTTACCACAGAGGAGGCTCCTAAAGGACAGATATTGTTTCCCATACCTCAGGGAGTAAAAAGCCATACTGCTGGTTCAGGAACTTTTACTAACAGCAAGTAAATTCAGGCCTTATCAAGTTACAGCACAAACTGCACTCATGTTTTATTATTCTCATTAGAGATTTAAGGACTAATTCCAGTTGTTAGCGCTTAGCAGTTTAATGTTTTCCATAGATAAGAATTAAGATTCTTCTGGGGGATTTTTTTATTTGCTAAAGCTTGCAAAATATAATGTGATAATGCACTTACTTTGATGTAATACAGGAGGTTTTCTAAATGTCCTAAATGTTTTTAAGGCATAGATTTTTAAAATTTAAACTTAATGACTAGATTTTTCCAAGTTGAAAAGGCACCCATTTCACTGAAACATGGCTTTCTTTTTTTTTGGATGGGGGTGGGGTAGGGAACCCAAATCAGATTCCCCTCTGGAAATATTAAAGAAGACTGCACTTGAATTTTCCCTACCTGATCCTGAGTATGACCAGTTCTCAAATCAAAGAAACTGAATGAAAGCAAATTCCATTACTCTAGGCAAAGTGAAATTTGATTCAAAATGAAGCATTGAATTAAACCAGTTTTGCAAGCACAACTTATATTACAATTGTTATCTTGAAGTGAAACT